CCATCTGACCAATTTGACATCAAATAATTTATAAATCACTATAGTAATATTAAATTTTAGATTGAATCATGTAACATGTTTATGTAGAAAAATTTAGTAAATTAATTTAAAATAAAAATTTCATTTTTTAGGAATTGATAGCATAATTTACATGCTATACATTTAATTTTATATTATGTTTTTATATTATGTATAAATTTTATACATTTCGGGAAATTGTTATAAGGAAGACGCTCGATTATTGTCGAAGTTGCTTCCAGTAATAAAATTTATTATTTGAACTCGGGCACAATTTAAAATAAATTTTAGAAAATCAGCTGGCAATTTGTCATGATAAATCAGCCGATTTTTTTGAGCAGTGCAAGTTTTTTTTTAAAGCAATACTTTTTATTTCAGCAATGAAAGGTACAGAAAAATTTTGTAATCGAACTTTCTTTTGATTTAAAGTCTAGATAGAACGATAATTTTTATTTCTAGATAAGAAGGAAGATGTAACATTTTGGGTAAACTTCATACTGTGATTTTCAATCTTTAAGTAGCTTTTACCTTGTGAAGGTCTGAGTCAAGATCATATAAAAGATCGCAAATATATTATTTCTTTCTGACCATGTGATTTGTATCTAAATGACTTTCCAAAATAATGAGATATAATTAAGGCAATTCATATTTAATCATTAATTTTTAATTTTGAAAATTATTTTATAATAAAAAAATTAAGAGAACGATTATTTTTTAATGTTGGAACCACTTACTGATACTAATAAACAGAGTTGGATAATAGAGGATGCCCGTCAAGTTAACAAATTAAAATAAAAACTACAACAATAAATGTGATAATACATTAAAAAATTTTAAATATAACTGAAAATGGCTTTACTATCATTTCTTCAACGCTATACTATCGAAACGTACAATTAATATTATTGGCAGTTAATTATCTTTGTATAAAAACATTCAAAAATTAAAAATGCAAAGTCGAATTTTGATAAATCCATAAAAACGATGTATTTTATATGGTGTCATCAGAACACAACCAAACGATCCAATGTAATCCATACATTTTTTTATGTAGAAAAAACAAACATTGACACTTTCACATGCAAATTTGTAATTCATTCTCTTTAATTTAGATGTCTGGTCTTGAATCAAGAACTCTCCCTTTTCGGAGCGAAGCGTATTACCAGTTCCACCACTTCAACCTTGGTAATCTTTTCATCGTTCCACGGTAGACAAATGATCCTAACCGAATGTAGATGTTTATTTAAAAAATTACTACTTAATCGTTTACTTATTCGTACAAGCTTTATATTATTATTTGTATAAGGTTTAGTTAATATTTTTTTGCAGATCAAAAAATTACATGCTTATTTTGTAACACAGCATGATGATCGAACACTTGTTTAACACTATAGGGATCATTTTACTTGATACACCATTCGCATGGT